GGGGGGGGGGTTGGCATTGCAGCTCTGTCAGTGCCTCGGCTGGGCTGTCTGCGCTGGCTCTCTGTGGGCCGGCCTGTAGCCGGCCTTCAAGGCCAGACAACTAGCTCTTGTTTCTCTTCTTTTTAATTTTCTTTTTTTTCTCCCTTTGCTGTTAGGAGCACTTGTTCCTATGCTGCAGATGGCTGGGGCCTCACCCAGGCAGAAATCAGAGACAGGCCACGTACAGGCCCTTCCTCCTGGCCACTCCCAATCCTCAGAGCTCCCTGACCACCACCCAGAGGGAGGCATCTCTAAAGTTGCTTATCTGCCTGTCTGCTTTGCTTCCCGGGCTTTTGAGAAATGACTTGCTCATCCTTTACAAAATCCTGTTCCTCTGAGCCTCCCCCACACGGAGCCTGGTGACTTAATGCATGTGACTCCTTGGCATCTTCTGAGTCTGGCAGGCCAACCCAATGAGTTTCGCAGCATCTTGTGGAACTAACCAGCTCAGGTTAGGTTCCACGTTGATGTCACCGTTCACAGCGGGGTGTACTGCCCCAGGACCCTGTGCATACTGTAGTCACAGGCAGGACAGCTCCTCCTTCCACAGCACCCCTCAAGGATCTTCCTTGCCTCTTGCTCTTTCACGATTTACATATGACGACTTAAACTAGTGTCTATTGAGGCGCAGGCCTTGCCAACACATAGTAGGGTGTTTAAAAAACTCTCTGCAGTCCAAACGGATGCATGAGCTATTGGTGGAAAAACTGGACTTTGTGGGCTGAGCAGTGAGGGGCATTCGCTGTCTCCTGGCGCCCTCTGGTGGTCACCGTGCAGACACTGCAGGGCCGACCTCTTCTTCCAGCAGCATTCCCCACAGCTGAAGGATGTGATGGCCAGATGGGCCCGCCATCCTTGATGGTGGGAGCCCAGGGCGCTGCAGCAGCTCTTGGTTCTCAGAGTTCTGGTTAGGTGACAGCCAGCTTCATTATTATTCGTACTTCTATTATCAAACAGCTAATGTTAGTAACATTGAACATGACAAACTTGTTGCTACCTACCGGTGCCTGAGCAGTTCCTCTGGACCTCAGTTTCCCCATCTGCGATGTGATAGTCTTGAGTATCAAGGGAAGCCCTGCATGTTCAATCTTAGCACAGGACGTAGGGTTTTTTTTTTCCTTTTCTTTTTTGGATGTAACTCCACCTTGTTTCTGATAGGACATAGGTTTTCAATAAGCAAGGGCTGTGGTGTAGGGACAGGGGGCATGTACACCTGAGGGCAGGTTACCAGTATGAAGAAACGCCCATTACCATCCCAGGGGGTGTTGGGGAACCACCTTGGCCTATTTCCCCGCCTGTGAAACATGGCTGCCTCTGCTGTGCTGGCTCCCCAGGAGTTGGGGAGCTTGAAATTCGGTTCCTGGACTGGGAGGTAGGCTGGAAGGTGTTCATAGAAGGTTGGACCCCTTGGTTCCTCTCCTTGACCCTGAAGGGGAAGGGCAGTTTACTCTGGGAAGGTTCTGGAATCTGTGGGATCTTCCTTCACCCCATGTCCTCCAGGACATCATGGAAAGGCTCTGACAGAGCCAGAGAACTGAGACCAGAGGACAGAACAGAACACCCAGGGATGAAAGGAAAACACAGTGGCAGCTTCCCAAGAAGCAGAGAGACAGTGACAAGTTCCCAGAACCAGAAAGGAATAAAGCATCCAGAAGCAGAGCTAGAGACAAAGCTGAGGTTCTTCTGGAAAAGCTGTGCTTGCTCAACATGACAGGAAGACCCAAGCCCCAATGTGAAGTCAGGAAAGGAAAGGGGGAGGGTGAGCCCACAGGTGTGGCCCAGAGCCAAACACCACGCTGGTGCTGGAAAGAACCACAGGGCACAGGAGCAGAGGAGCCTAAGAGGCTGGGAGCTGGCTGGGGAGGGACATAAATGAAAGGCTTCCTGTGATTGAAGAAAGGAAAAAAGCAGCCAGGCGCCTGAGGCTCACCTGTAATCGTACCTGCTTGAGAGGCTGAGATCTGGAGGATCAGGACGCCAGCCTGGGCAATTAGTTCGTGAGACCCCTCCTCAACCAATAACAGCGCACAGAGGTGCGTGCCTGTCATCCCAACCTCCGTGGGAGGCTGAGAGCAGGAGGATCACAGTTCTAGACCAGTCTGGGGAGGGGTGGGGGCGGGGTGGGAGTAGCGGTGGTGATAGTGGTGGAATAAATTTGTAAGACCCTATCTCAACTGAAAAAAACTGGGTGTCATGGCATGAGCCTGTCATCCTAGCTATGGTGTGAAGCCTAAAATAGGATCGTGGTCCAGGCTGACCTAGGCAAAAAGCAAGACCCCATCTCCAAAATAACCACAGCAAAAAGGACTGGGGGAGTGGCTCAAGCGGTAGAGCACCTGACTTGCAAGAGTGAAGCTCTGAGTTCAAACACAAAACTGCCAAACAAAACAAAACAAACAAACAAAAAAACCAAAAGCAGTCACTTAAAATCCTAAGAGTCTGATCCTGCCCCTGGTCGTGCTGGGAGGTGGCAAAGCATACCCTACCTGGAATCCCCATCTTTCTGAGTCATCATCAGAGGGCGAGGGTACAGTGAGGTGCTCTCAGAGAGCCTGCCTGGTAGCCAGCAACTCGCCCTCCACCATGCCACCAGGGTGTGGAAGGCACGGACCCCAGGAAATGAGGATTGAACCCAGAAGTCTGGGGATAGCTGGCAGTGCCCTGGAGAAACTGAGCCAGCCTCATAGGGTCCACAGCAAGACAGGGTGTGGGGCAAAGGTGACATGGTGATGGCTATAAGGGCACGCAGACCAATTCACCTCCAGGAATCGTGAAATGGCACAAAAAATTCCCAGGACCCTATTTGGTTCAATCTATTTGGTTACCTGTCCTGATAATGAAGAAAATGTGTGACAACAGTGACTGGAGGGGGCAGGCAGGTGGTAAACCCCAGGGCCAACAGGAACTACAGGGACCCCACTAGACACGTCATGCCTGGAACCTTCCCCATGGCTTCCTGGACCTCCAGGGAGCTGTCTGCGCCATTTTGCTCTGCACTCTGCTCCCCGCCAGCCAGAGCCAACTGCCCCCTGCCACGTCCCCCCCCCAGATTGTCTGCTGAAGTCATCAGGGCTAAGGAGTGGCTGGGTCCTTGGATCCTAGCAGCATGGTGGTCCACCGAGCTGCCAGAGGCTCACAGGAGACTCCACAGAGAGGGACAGCCCTGGCAGGTTTAAAACAAGTCCCCACAGGGAAGCTGTTGCTTCCTGGTGTAATCTAAACCTCGCGGCAAGGACCCGGCCTGATCCAGTGCTCTGCTGGGTTATGGGCACTGGCCTTTTTTTTTTTTTTTAATTTTTATTTTATTCATATGTGCATACAATGCTTGGGTCATTTTTCCTCCCCACCCCGCTCCCTCCCTTCCCCCCTACCCCTCGCTACCCAGCAGAAACTATTTTGCCCTTATCTCTAATTTTGTTGTAGAGAGAGTATAAGCAATAATAGGAAGGAACAAGGGTTTTTGCTGGTTGAGATAAGGATAGCTATACAGGGCATTGACTCACATTGATTTCCTGTGCGTGGGTGTTACCTTCTAGGTTAATTCTTCTTAATCTAAACTTTTCTCTAGTTCCTGGTCCCCTTCTCCTATTGGCCTCAGTTGCTTTTAAGGTATCATCTGCTTTAGTTTCTCTGCGTTAAGGGCAACAAATGCTAGCTAGTTTTTTGGGTGTCTTACCTATCCTCACCCCTCCCTTGTGTGCTAAAGCTTTTATCATGTGCTCAAAGTCCAATCCCCTTGTTGTGTGTGCCCTTGATCTAATGTCCACATATGAGGGAGAACATACGATTTTTGGTCTTTTGGGCCAGGCTAACCTCACTCAGAATGATGTTCTCCAATTCCATCCATTTACCAGCGAATGATAACATTTCGTTCTTCTTCATGGCTGCATAAAATTCCATTGTGTATAGATACCACATTTTCTTAATCCATTCGTCAGTGGTGGGGCATCTTGGCTGTTTCTATAACTTGGCTATTGTGAATAGTGCCGCAATAAACATGGGTGTGCAGGTGCCTCTGGAGTAACCTGTGTCACAGTCTTTTGGGTATATCCCCAAGAGTGGTATTGCTGGATCAAACGGTAGATCAATGTCTAGCTTTTTAAGTAGCCTCCAAATTTTTTTCCAGAGTGGTTGTACTAGTCTACATTCCCACCAGCAGTGTAAGAGGGTTCCTTTTTCCCCGCATCCTCGCCAACACCTGTTGTTGGTGGTGGTGTTGCTGATGATGGCTGTTCTAACAGGGGTGAGGTGGAATCTTAGCGTGGTTTTAATTTGCATTTCCTTTATTGCTAGGGATGCTGAGCTTTTTTTCATGTGGTTTTTGTGGGCACTGGCTTTTAATGGATTATTCCAGGCTGTTCTACCACTCGCTTCCTCTGCTCATGAAGCTAAACCAAGTTCACGGACAGTAAGGCAGTGGCTTTGCCACCTTACTACTTGGGCAGTATCTTCATCTTCCACTTTCCTGCCAACCCCTCAGTCTATGTAGTGAGGCTACATAATATCCCAGTGGGAGGGACAGTGTTGCAGTAGAGTTCGGTAGAGTCAGACGCAGGCCAAGGTGGCACCCGCCTGGTACTGTGGCTTGGCAATGTGCCTCCAGGTCCCAAGCTCCTTTGGGTTCGTGTTGGGAATGCCATGTCCTGTGAGAGCATCTGTGTCACATGGAAGGCGTGCACAGCAGTACAGTGATGGTGCACTTTGAGTCTCTCCCAGCACAAGTATTCAAATAATGTAAGGGGTGAGTTATGTTGTAGGGTGCTGGGAGTGGTGGCACAAGGGAGAGGTTAGGAGGGCCCTGAGTTCGAAACCAGCCTAGGCTATACAGAAAGACCCTAATGCTAAATAAAAATTGTAGATACCCAAATTCTGGATCACAGAAAGAGATTTTTGCTTTTATTTAATGTGCACTAAAAAAAAAAAAAAAAAAAAATCACAGGGCTACTCAGGACTCTAGGAAAGACCTGCAGTAAAACACAGCTGAACACGGCATGGGCAGCGCAAGGTTTGTGAGCAGTGCCCGAATGATGCTGTCACCTGTCAAGGGCACAGAAGCAGAAGAGGCTCTAGAGACTGGGTCACTACAACTGAGGCAGGACAAGTGCTGTGTCACAGTCACCCAGGAAGAATCCAACCACTTGGAAATGGTTTGCGAAGTCAATTGGTTACTTTATTTCATATAAAAGTTACACTGAAAGGAGAGGTTCAAAGTCAAGTATACTTGATTTGCACGGACTGCCAAGTCTCACAGGATTCAACCGCTTTGATAATTGTTTCGATTCATGAGCAAGTTATACACATTAAAAGCCTCACACTGAAGCTCTACGCAGATGTCCAACCCAGACACACATGTGCAAATGAAGACGCAAAACAATCTTTGAGCTCACCGTCATGCTGTGCTGACCCTCTTGCTGTGACAATCTGTCCCCTCTGCAGTCCCATGGGTTCCATGGTTTGCTCTCTGGGCGAGGGCCAGGCTCAGAGACCCGTGGGGTCTGCCTCTGCACCCTGGGAGCCCTGATGGAGGCTGGGCACAGAGCAACCCACGCCAAAAGAGCAGTCACTGGGGCAGAAAGGCAGACTGTCCCTGGGAGGGCAACAGCACTGTATCAGCACACGGCAGGCACAGGAGACCCCAGACCCTGTCACAGATGGTCTCAACACATCGGCAGCAAAGGTACAGCCCGGGCAGGTTTAAGGCGGGTCCCGGGGTGGTGGGGGGCTGTTGCTTCCTGGCATAATTTTAAGCACGCACCAAAAGTCCAATGGCATTACCTGTGCTATGGGTAGAGGAACAAATCAAAAGCTGCCACACTGCCGCACGCCCCTGCCCAGAGGGGCCGGAAGGCAGCACTCCTCCCCTGCCACACAGCGGGGTTCCTCTGCTCCCCGGGCCCACTTCCCTCACTGAGGGTCCGCTTATACTCTAATGGGCCAGGAAAACAGAGACACCAGCTCCGAGCCCGCAAGCACTCTGGATTTTAAAGTACAATGGACAGGAGGCTATGAAGGCCACACAGGAGTGACTGCTCTTTGGGTCTGGATGCTCTCCATTTGCAATACATTCATAGAAGCCCCACTTCCCTGAAACATCAGCGTCTAGAAACAGCTCCTGTGCAGTACATGGCTGTTAAATATGTCACCTAAACACTGCCGATTCTGACACACGTGTGTGCGCACACACACACACACACACACACACACACACACACACACAGGCACACATAGACTTGCTGGAAAGGACAAAGGCTGCCTCTTCCAGGGCATTGGGAGGTTCCAGAAGCCACCTTCTCTGTTCAGCGCATGGAACTTTTCCAACGTCAGTGCAAAGTGTCATGGCCCGTTCAGGCCACCAGGTCTCTGTGGAGACGCCCCTTCTGGTCAGGGAGTGCTGGTGGCAGGGTCTGCAGGACTCCCTGCAGTGGCCACACTGACTTGTGACTGAGAAAAGCAGCTCAGCACATGGGTTTTTCCCAACCCACGGAACATCCCGTAATGTCCTGACAATTCAGCTGTGCAGGAGGTTATGGCATTTGCCACCTTGGGTGGCAGCACGCCTTTCCTGGGGTTACAGGTGAAAACTGCTGATCACCCCATGGCCCTAGGTCCATGAAGCCCTCACTGCCTGCAGTGGCTGGGCAGCTCCACCTGCTGCTGGTCCCAGATGCTGACGGGGTGCCACTACTGCAGACCCAAGTGAGCATCCAATCGAGTCCCGCTGGGTGAGAGGCTCACACTGAGAACTCGGGGCCTCCTTTCCTGGGTCTCAGCTGCAGTCGCCTGAATCGGAAGCCAACAAAGGGGTTCATCCAGAGGAGTGAGGGGGGTCCCCCAAAGACAGACTTCATCCCTTCCCACCGCAGCCTCCGCTCCCATGTGGGCTTCTCACTCTTCAGTCTCTCGATCTCCTGCAAACAGAGAGAAGTAAGAGGGCGACAGGAAGGCGAAGCAGTGCAGGCCCAGCACACAGGGACAGCAGTCAACCTCAGCAGCCACTGCGCTTCAGATGGGTGCTCAGGCAACCACAGCTACAACCTGGGCAGCAGCCCAGACAGCCACAGGAAGTCTCGGCACAGGGCTGCAGCATTTCCACTGCCGCATCCAATGCTCACGGAGCACACTCTGGGCCTGCAGCACACAGGTAGGGAGGCAGTCCACCCCTGAAACCTGGGAGCTGCTGACCTTCAAAGCCAAGCGAGACCTGAAGTGTGCACCAAGGACAGAGAAGCAAGCACAGGGACCCGCCAGGCTTGTCAGCCACCCTGGCTCTCCCTTGCGCTCACAGTGGTACCAGCTGCCCAAGCGTCTCGCACACAGCACACAGCACACAGTGCACAGCACAGTCAGGGCATACCGTTTCGTCGCTGCATATTGAGTGGATCTGGGTGCCAAACATAACCGCAGTGAAAGTGAAAAACAGGAGACCCTCAAGGCACAGGAAGATCAACAGGATCACAGTAATCGGAGGTGAAAACCCGCTGCACTCTGTGAACGAGAGTGAGGTGCTGTGACCGGATGTCAGAGCACAATGCAGACCCACAAGGCGCAGGGTGCTATGCTCAGAGGTGGCCTCCAGCACCGCACAGCAGCATCCAGGAAGAAAGGTGCTCCAGACAGCCCTTCCCTCTCTCCTGGCCGCAGTTTCCAGAGCTACATCTTGAGATTTCTCTGACACTGGATCTGTGTCCAGACAGGAGCCCCTACACCTGCCTCACAAGAGCCTGCTCCCCGCCCACGGGGACAAAACTTGCCCCCAAATACCTGCCTGCATTCAGTCAGTGCCTGTTTGGACTACACTTGCTTGGGTCATTCAATTTAGGTAACATGAAGGGCAGCTGTGGACAGTGGTCAGTCAGCCAATCAGAAAGCAAACATATGGCCAGTGAGACTACTAACTTCCCTCTAGTCTAAAAACCTGCACAATCCAGCAACATCATGCAGTAGAAACTGACTAAGGAAGAACAATCAGATGACCTCAGTATACTGAGTAAAACAACCATGTTCTTTTTCTTTTTTGGCAGTACTGGGATTTGAACTCAGGGCCTCACTTTTGCTAAGCAGGCACTCTACACTTCAGCCATATCTCTCTCCATGTTTGGCAGAACTAGTTTGAACTCAGGGCTTCATGCTTGCTCCACAGGTGTTCTACGATTTGAGTCATGTGCCAACCCTTTTTGGTGCTGGGTATTTTTGAGATGGGGTTTCATGAACTGTTTGCTCAGGCTGGCTTTGAACCGCAATCCTCCTTATCTCTGCTTCCCGAGTAGCTGGGACTACAGGCTAGCCAGTCCACTGGCACCTAGTCCTCCAGTCCTTTTTTGCTTTAGTTATTTTTCAAGTAGGGCCAGGCTCAGACTATGATCATCCTACCTCTGCCTCCATGTATTGGGACACAGGTACATGCCACCATGCCCACCTTGTTTATTAAGATCGGGTCTCATGAATGCTTTGCCTGGGCTGGCCTAGAACCATGATCCTCCCGATCTCTGCCTCCCGAGTAAGCTAGGATTACAAGTGTGAGCCACCATGTTCTTTTCTGTACAAATTTAATTCTTAAAGCACAGCAAAGATTTTCTTTCAAACCTGAACCCCAACTTGTCCTTTGGAGCCCCCTCCCCACCATGGTACCCACTTTCAAGAATGACACACAAGAGCCACACTTACCAGTCCACTGCCCTCGGACACAGGAGATGAACTGAAGCCCACAGAGAATCAGAGCATGGACCGAGGACAGAGCTATGTACATCTAGAAGAGGGAGACGGTTACTAACTTCCCAGCAGTCCATCGCCCCAGGAGCAAAGGCTGATAAGCGCCACGCTTACACCCACTTTATTTGCTGGGAAGGAATAAATTTGAATAGTTGACAGCTGCCTATTCAAGACTGTATTAGATTGACTTTTTGGGAAAATAAGCAAGGGGAAACGATCTCTATCCAATTTCAGAGTAAGATCCTGCACTGACGGCGGGCTATGGCTGGGAGACATCAATCTGCAGCCCCATCTTTCGCCACTGGGACTATTCCCACCAATGCCAGCACAGCAGTGGCATCTGACTTCTGCAGAAAGGGTGGAGGGAAACTGGTCCCTGCTCCAGGGAGATTCTAGTGACAGAAGTGTGAACTCAATATAATCACTTAGCAAACATTTACTTACAGTGAAGAGCACAAAGAATCTCTGATTCTTTTCTCCTACGCAGTTGTTCACCCATGGGCAGTGGTGATCCATTTTCCGAATACATCTTTTGCAAATACTGAAAAGGGGAGTATGAGTCTCAGTACCTCATGCTTTGGGTGAGAAAGCTAGCACACACATTCCAATAAGCACACCGAAGTCATCTACGATACGTAGGTGCTACATTTCCTTAAAGCTTCTCAGTTCAATTACTTTGAGAAAAAAGTATAGGATACTCAGTTAAAGTAGAATAATCTGAAATGTGAATTTCAGGTAATTTTTAGCTGGAGATGTGGCTCAATTTGGTTGAGAGCCTGCCCAGCAAGTGCGAAGCCCTGAGTTCAAACCCCAGTACCACAAAAAATAAAATAAAAAATGAAGTATCATCTGTTGCTAAGGAAAACATTCCATGAACTAACAGGCTTAGAGCCAGAATCACAAGTTTTCACATTCTTAGAGTGCAAACGGACCATGCACACTTAACGATAATGTTCCTGATCCTGAGAGCTTACAAGTTGTAGGTCTGAGTAAAGACAGAAAGCTGAACTTTAAGTTCTTGGAAAGAGCTGGGTGAGATGTTGCACGCCTGTAATCCCAGCACTTGGGAAGCTGAAGGTGGAGGATTCCAACCTTGATGCCAACAGCAGTCCATAACAGAACCTTGTCTCAAATAAGCAAATGCAGGGAAGAGAAGTCGTGGTACCTCCAGGTGGCTCTACCACTCAGTCCATGTGTACCTGAGCCACCTGACTACAGGCCTGTGCACAGTTGTCTTCACTCTTAAAGTTGTCTTCCACCTTTCCCCAACCTACTCCACACATCGGACTTCTAAACTAATTTGCTGTCAGTCAGTTTCAGAAACACCTTGTGCCAACTAACTGCAGCAGCCGGGCACCCAGAGGCAGTGCCTCCGCTCCTGGTTGACATCTGACCCAGCACCGCTCTGTTCATCCACAGCTGCAGTCTTGCTCCCTGACTCCACTACACCTGTTAATCCAAGAACTTCCAAACCATCTCAATTTCTTTTCAAAAAGATTGGGTACAAGTGACATACCAGTTGCCCATTTTAAAATGTGTAGAGCAGTGATTGTAAGTATACCTGCAGAGTTGAGGGACACCCCACCAAAGGAAGCTGTGCCCACATGCAGCCACTCCCCACTGCCCCCCCAGCCTAAGGCAGCCATTACTCAACTCTTCCTCTATTCATGCGTCTTTGCTTTCTGGCCAAGTTGTGTGGATATGAATCTTCCAACACTTTCACTGTAGCCACAAAGCAGGAAAGAACCCTTTATATGGACTCCCTCCCCTTGGAGGCTGTTTCACTTGTTCCTCTCAGCAAACCCCGATCCTCTAGAACGACACTGGTGAGATGACCACACTCCACCGATTCATGTATGGGGACTTGTACAGGGGACTTCAGGAGGAGAAATACTCCCAGGCAGTCCCACTTCACACTGCAATCAATGCCCCTCCAGGAGCAGATGGCCTGAAAGTCAGGACTCGGCCGAGCGAGGAGGAAGCGGACAAAACGCAGGGAGCAGTGGCAGTGCCAGGGAGGAAATATCCAAAGTGCTAGTCCACTCAGACTGATTTGGCTCCTATTAAACTGACCAGTGTTTGCAGCATGTCCAAAAGAAGCCAGCATCCACCCTGCAGAACCACGCCAGGTCAGGGGGACACTGAGTACCTCAGAGTCCTCTGCTTATCTAGAAGGAGGAGCAGCAGGAGTGTGTGTGTATGGGCGGCAGTGGTGGTGATGGTAGGGGAAGCAACAACAATTCTAATCCTACTCAGCTCCATACAGGCCAGGCCCAAGGGACACTGAGTATAGATGCCAGCCAGTGGCAGCTAGGCCCTAGAAACAAGTAGCACCCTATCACGTCCTCTACCTGTTGTCCCATGGGTGTTCCCAGACAGGACCCAAAGTCTGTGTTATCCCCAAACTCCCAGCAGGGCTCCAGGAACTGAGTGGGTGTCTTGAGCCTCGCTGCTCTGTGTGGAGTGGACACCAGTCATACCTACACGGGTGGGCTCCAGGCATTGGGCTGTCCCTTCAATGGTGGGCAGAGCGGACCTGCCGTGGTGGTGCTCTGGGGGAAAGGGTGGGCTCTGTGGGGGGACATATCTGCAGTAGTAGGCTCTGGGGGAGGGGTGTACCTGCAGTGCTGGTGGGGGTCGAGGGGCATACCTGCAGTGGTGGGGAGAGGGGCGTGGCTGCGGGGGGCGGCGTGGAGGGGCGTGTACCTGCAGTGGTGGACGGGTGGGGGGAGGGGTGTACCTGCAGTGGTAGGGGGAGGGGCGTGTACCTGCAGTGGTGGGGGGAGGGGCGTACCTGCAGTGGTGGGCGCGCTCCGGCTTGATGCAGCAGCACTTGGGGCACTTGTAGACCACCTCGCCGGGCTTCAGCTGGAGGCTCTCCATGTACTCTTTTGTAGCGTTCCCTTTGGGAACCGCCCCCTATCACACAGGAATGTGTTTAGTTTTGGACAAAGGCAGGTTAAAAAAATTAACTTTAGAAACTGACCTTAGATTTTGTGTTAGTTATCAAGTAATCATAGTGCTCTCTAGATGTCACTTAAAGCATATGAAAAGTAACTGACATGGCAGGACTAGAGGAGTCACTCTCCATAAAAATAACGTTAAAATAAACAAACCGACAAATGGCCGAGTTTTCCTTAGCTTAATGCAAGGCACACAAGGCAAAGCCAGTCCTGGGGTTCCCAAGGGCACCACTTGCTCGCTGCCCCCTCTACTGGGAAGGGCTGGTCTGGCCACATGCTGCCCAGGAGTCCTCCTGTCACTGCAGTGAGGACAGTGAACAAAACAATCTCAAAGTGCACTGACTTTTCCTCATGCTGTCAAATACGTGTGGTTCTGCCTGCCTCCCTAAGAACACTATACACCGACATAGTAACCGAGACACAGACCCCAACCTGGTTCGCACACTATCAGTGAGGCAGCCTGTGCAGAGAGGCGTCTCTGCCTCGGCCCCAGTCTAGAGGAGCTGGAAAGCAATGGGACAAGAGGCCATGAGGATGGCCAGGGTCCCCCATAAGCAGGATATCAACTAACCAGGGGAGGAAAATGAGGCCTGGACAGTGGACGGTTAAAGCCTTAATACTTTGTTGTGGGGACAGTAGACATGTAATGAAAAATGTGTTTGTGAGAGATTACTCTGGAAGCTGTGACAGGGCAAAACAAGGGAGGCACAACTGCCTGAGAGGCTCTGAAGCCTCAAGGTGAGAATTGGGGCTTACAGTGTGTGTTTCTGGAGAGGGAGGCACCAGGTTGGGTGGGCCCAACATCCAGGGGCACAGCGAAAGCACAGGAGAGGGGCTGGGCGGTGAGAGCCTTCACTCAGAAGAAGCATGGCTGAGCTCCTTAAACCCCAGCTGCTGGCCACAGTGCTGAAGCTCTACTGGGCGAGGCTGCATCTCAATCTCAGGTAGCTGGCAGGTGAGATGCAGCCTCAAGCAGGAAGGCAGGGCTAGCATGGCGCCTCCCCACCCCAACCATCTTGCTCACTCCCTCCAAACCAGGACCTGTCCCAAATGGGAAACTGGAAACCATTCCTAATGCTCAAACTGCCTTCCCTTGAACAAGTTCAGTTAGGGGTTAACCCTCGTCTTTGAAAATTTAGATCACAATAAGTAAAACATGTTACTTATATCTCACAACTTGGGGTCTCTGACTAACTCTCCCCCACTGATCCAGAAGTCTTAACACTGCTGATTTTATAAAATGACAGTTCAGTGGCATAATTTCCTCAATAAGGAAATGAACCAGATTTTAAAACTCCAAACACCTTCCTCTCTGAGCCACCCACGCACTTTTCCATAGTGAAGCAAAGCCGACATGGTACGCCTGGTGCAGCTGTGGGAGGCAGGGTCACTGCCACCCTTTCTGGATCACTGCCACCTGGTAACTGAGAATGTCGTTTCTCGAAGGGGAAGCCAAGCACCCCTGGTGACCATTAGGACTTGAGACTGGGCTGCACTTCTGGGACTTTCTGGTTCTGGTTGTTCCTTTTTTCCCCTCTATGTAGCCTAGGTTGTCCTGGATCTCATGATTCTCCTGCCTGAGCATCCTGTAGAGTGCGGATCACAGATAGCACCATGGCAGCTCAGGCTTTCCTTTCTGCAGCTGGGAGCCCTGAGCGGATGTGGCCCCAGGGCAGGTCTCTGTTGCAGCAGGCCTTGCATGTTGTCCCCACGGTCAGAGCCTTGTGAGGTGCAGTTGAGCAGTGCAGAGGCACCCTGTGGAAGTGGGGCTTGATGAAAGCAGAGAGCCCCATTTCCTCCACACCAGGGGAGGCCATGCTTCAGCACGTCACACACCCTGTGGATGGACGTTTTCCTAACAGTCTTCTTGAATATATCCCACCCTCCCTCCCCAGGTAGCAGTCTGGGGCCTTCCCAACCAGGCCTTCCAGACAGCCTTGTGACCTGAACCACCTCACCTCCCCTGCCCTCCTTACTCCACCCTCCCTGAGAAGCTGTGTGGTTTCCTTTTCCACATCTTTCCATCTCTTCCCTGCCTCCCTGTCCTGCAACCAGGGTCCCCAGAACCTGCCCAAAGGGCAGTTCAGACCTACCGATCAATTTATGGAAAACCCAGGACTGCGGTGCAGGTTGAAGTAACTACAAGGAAATCACTACAAAGTTCAGACGAATGATTGCGTCTCTTCAATTAACCCCGACTGCAAGTGTGAGACCCTCAGTCAAACCCTGGAACCACCAAAACAATCAGAACAGGAGGGAGACCTTGGGAACCCTGGAGAGGAACTATGACATGAAGGGACAGGGAAATGATCACAAGGTGCGACCCTTACTTGGGTCCTGACTTGCACAAAGACTAAGAACAGCAAGATAGCCAAGGACAGCGACTCCCTAGACAGGCACTTGGGGAACAGTAAAGTGAGTCACGGGGCTCTGGCACTGTGCTCGTGTTTTCAAATTGTCCTTTTTAATCTACAGATGAAGCAACCTAGTATGTGGAAAGAAAGGGAGCAACAGGCTGTCACCACGAGTGGGTGCAAACACGTGGAGAGTTTTACAGGAAGTTAGTAAAGAGGCAGGGCTCTGGAGGCACTAGCTGCCTCCCCAGCGGCCCCTGAGGAGAAGGCAGAGAGCATCTACGGCAGATGGCTGGTTGAGGACCAGCAACTCAGAGGGTGGTAAGAGCACTGGGCAAGTACCTGCCTAGGAGGCTGCGCTCTGCGCAAGGTTGCCAAGAGGCCGCACCTGCGTGTTGTCACATGGGCACCTTCCCTCATGCTCCCAGCATTATGACCTGTGTCTTGTCTCCAACAGGTCCTTTCTCCTCTCCTCACTCAACCTATCAACTGTCCTTGAATCAGAACACCAGTCCAAGCCACTCCCAGCAAGGCTGCCTATACTTGATGTCATTCTCGATGACATCAAGTCCCACTCGGGCATCTGCCCACCGTGGATGACACGAAGGCTCCCATTCACTCCACCCTAAACCTTGCCGTAACAAGCACATGAGCTGTAGAGAGAAGAGAGGCCCAGGGAGGGCTCAGAGTGTGGACACTTGACCTGAGAGCCCACACCCAGACTCCCTTCAGAACTGTGACCTGGAACTGAAGAATACACAAGATCTGGCCTGCGGGACTGCCCTCCTTCACTACTCCATATTATGGGGAGAACCAGGTCACTGACAGCTGAGAGAGATGGCAAGCACCTGAGGGACAGAGACAGCCATGGGTGTCAACCTTCCTACAGTCTCCACAGCCTCATCCACAGCCCAACCACTGTAGCTACAGGGCTGCTTAAATGCCCATGTTCTCCATCTGATTTATACTGACTCCCAGTGGTTTCTATAAGGTGCCACCAAAGCCCTAGTATGGGACAGGGCTGAAATGGTGCTATCCAAATGGACAGAAGACTCGGCAGTAAGCACGTGAAAAGACTCTTCATGTCGTCAGTCTGGGGAAATGGCAATCAAAACCACAAGATGCCACTTCACACAAGACAGGCAGCAACAAGTGCTGAGAGGATGAGGCTGGAGGAAATGGGAATGGTACTGCCATCTGGAGAATAGTCTCAAGTTCCCCAGAAAGTTAGAGCTTCCCTGTGACCCAGCAGTTGCACTGCCAAGCATGTACTCAATGACAAGAGACATTTTACCACACAGAAACATGTACACGAATGCTCACAGCGTATGACCCCTAACAGCCCAAGGGGAAACAGTCCAAATGCCCAGCAACACACACCGTGGAGCGTTACTCAACCATAGAAGGAATGAAGTGCCGATCCACACTACGACTCAGATGAGCCTGGAAAAATGAGGCTGAATGCAATAGCCAGATGCAAAAGGCCACATGCTGTGTGATCCACCTACACAAACAGGCAGATGTGCAGACAGGACGCAGATGAGTGGTGGCAGGGGCTGGGTAAGGGTGGTGTTTCTTTTGGGGTTATGAAGATGCCTTAATATCACCTGTGATGATTGTTGCACAAAACCACTGAACGAAAACCACTCAACTGTGCACTTTACAGGATGCACTAGGCAGGATATGTGTGGGGAGTGGATTATGGGAAGCCTTTGAGAACTTGACATAAGCACAGTTGTGCTCAATGACCTACAGGCTGAGTTTGGCACAGCCCCAGCTGCAGAAGAGGGTGAAGGAAAAATGCAGCATAGTTGCTTCTCCTAAGTTGTTTATGTTCAGAGAAGTAGAGAGCAGGTTTCTCTTGTTACAATGTCACGCCCCTCCCCAAGAACTGCTGCTCCACCTCCTTGTTTACCACTAGATATAAAAGACTTGCTGAAGGAGGACTGGGGTTTTTTTTTTAATGGGGGATGTTGATTGTCTGGATATGGGCTGCTTGTGAAGCTGCTGCTGTTGCTGCTGAGTTATGCTAGAAATTAGAGGAAACATGGGAAAGTGCAAGCCTGAGGGCCTTTGCTTTAGGTATTTTTCGTATAGGGTCTCACTTTATGCCTGGGCCAACCTGGACCACAATCCTATTTATGCTTCCCACCTAGCTGGCAGTACAGTCACGCCTCATTGTAGCCAACTTTTATTGGTTGAGATGGGGGGTCTCACAAACTTCTTTTTGCTTGGGATGGCTTTGAACTTCAATCTGCCCAAGTAGACAGAACTTTCTTCTAATGAACCCGAAATGGACATTAAATACCTGGCTACACACATCTGCCGCTCAGTGCTGGCTGCTTGTGCCCCCGGACATGTCCCCTGACTCTGGGGTGGCCTGAAATCCACTGCCTGGAGGTTAATGAATGACTGAGCTGCAAGGATCTGGGCAGTTCGCCAGAGTGCCCCTCCCTGACCAGAGGACGTCTCAATCCTCAAGAGAAGGAAAGCAGCTTTGCCTGGTGTGGAGGCTCTGGATCAGAGGCCTCCATGCCATTGTCTACTCTCAGCCTCATGGCAACCTGCTTCAGGGAAAAGCCCAACACACCTTTCATGTTTTCACAGCTGTTTCACCTTGCACCCCGTGCATTTGTCCCTTAGCTCCGTGCTGCAGCCAATGCCCCCAGAGCAGCAGCCCCTACCTGTGGGCCCCAGGAACCACAGTCTCCTTCCTCCCTCTGCCTGGCTGCAGGCAGGGCCAGAGAAGTGAGGAGCTGTAGAGAATTCAGAAACAAGACCTCACCTCAGCCCAAGGAAAGCAAATCAGCTGCTTAAGGCCAAATAACAACTATGAGAACTGGAAAGGTGACAACACTAGAACCCAGACCTCTTAGCCTCCCTTTGACTAAATTAGATAAATAGATATCAGAAATTATCTACTGGAGGCTGAGGACAGAGGAACACTGGAGGCTGGGAGTTCCAGGCCAGCCCAAGTAATAGTAAGTCCTTGTCTCCAAACACTTTTCACCTAGCACAACCTCTTCATTTGAACACCTTCCATCACTGTACCTTGGTACCACTGCACTTAAGCCGTGTTTCTCTCCAGTAAGACAGGAAAAGGCTACCATCTTGCCTCCTGCGTGGCCCTAGAGAGACACACAGAACCCTCAGCAGTGTTCGAATACTCACGGGGTCGGTGAGCATGGTTCTCAGGTGTGACGACAGCGCGAGCACCGCCAAGCAGTTAAAAATGACTCCATTCACCACGGAGTACCAGAAGTCCTTGGAAGGCAGCAGCATGACAAATGTCACCACAAAGTCTGCGTAGACAACCAGAAGCCACGTCATGACCGCACAGACCATGCCACAGCCATCGCGGATGAACCACACCCTGTCAGCCACATCGGCCTCGGAGGACGAGGAGGACGCAGAGTCATAATTGTCACTGTCAGTCAGGAGAGGATGGTGCTCGACATCCCGCAGCCTGTGTCCTGATGGCTGCATGATTCCCTGTCGTGCCCTGGAGAGGGTGGACAGAGAGCTGGTAAGGTTCACTAGAACGCACAGAAACACAGACTCACAAGCCACCTTTAAATACACTGTGTCACAGGTTGCCCTTGGCCACTTTATAAAGTCAGCCTAAATACACAGAGCAGAAAAGGACATTTAACTAGTTAAGAGCTGAATGCTTCCATCCTTTGCCTGACTGGCACATAAATCCCACAGTACATGTTATGCATGCAGATCCAAGCTGTCACTTAGCCACACACAGACAGAGATAATGACAGGGATAAGCTGCATGCAAATCCACAGCCCCAGGCTCCCCAGGCCAGGAGAGAGGGCCCTGCTATATCTGACCCCCATGGCCTGCCCTGTCCTGCTCTGGTCAGTTCACCTCATGGCATCCCCAGACAGAGATTCAGCATGGAAATAAAGGGGTGGGGGGAGACAAGAAAAGGAGACCATGCACAGAGAATGTTCTGGGCTCATTTTTATACCTGAGCATGTCCTTGGCTCTTCTGCATAGTATTTTTTGTCTGTTTGTTTATTTGTTTGTTTTTCAGTATGGGGGTTTGAACTAAGGGCCTCAGGCTTGCTAGGCAGGTGCTCTGTGGCTTGAGCCACTCCGCCAGCCCTAGCTTTTCTCCCTGTGTGTCTCAGTTTGTGCATTTCTCCTTTGTGTTAGCTCCCTGTGGCCAGCTCCTGTTTTACCTCTCTATTCCTCCGCTCATACTGTTTCTAAAATGCCCTTCGTCTCTTTTTAACCTTTGTAAAGTCTCCTCCATTCATAAACCCACTCTTCTGAGACCTTTTGCCTATTTCCCGTGGCATCTCATTGCCAAGAACACTTGGGGTCAAAGAAAGTAAAGCTGGCACTTTCTCTAGCTGTAACTATTTCATTAAATGCATGACCTTCTCCTGTCATGTTTGCTGAGGGTGGAAATACTCGTGACAAATCAAGAGCAAGGGAAAGGAGACTCCAGCCGACCGTCATAGCTTCTAATGGGGAGAGAGAACTGACAGGTGCCACTGAACAGACTCTGCACTTGACAGCGCAGGAGCTGGGCCCAACTTCTAACAGGCAAGAGTGCTCAAGACCATAGCTTCTGAAATGTGCAAAAGGGAGACGGACAAGGTGCTTTGGGCCTTCGATTGATTAGCAGATGTTTTTCAAAGCTGGCCATGGTTTTTCTTCTTAAACATAACTGGAACATAGTGATTATGAAAATGTTTAATGAATGAACTTGCTGAGAATTCATACTCCAAATACTTTATAAAATTCCCTCTCAATACAAAAGCACTGACTAGTGTAAGAAAAAGCGAAATACTGCTTTGCAAAGTCAGTAAAATGGCTCTATTCTTGGACTGGATGAAAATAGCTTTAAAACAATTTTAAGTGAAATGGAAGAAACTAAATTTCAAACAAACTTGGACAGACCCCAGTCATTAGCTGACGGTTAGAGAAGGACACCTTTCCATTGTCTGGTTTGTCTGCGCCACACCCCAGCGCCCTGGGTTGTCATGTCTATTCTGCCCACAGAACGACCACCACCATCTCTCTCCCAGGCAAGCATACTGCAGAGACTTCTTGCTGAGGAACACCTTGACAGGGGCCTCTGACTGTCCACGTGACCACTTGCAGAAATGCCGTAACTGCAGTTCCCTGCAGCACTCTTGGAGCCTGGTTCCAAGGAGCCGAGAAGCTGGAGGTCACTCTGCCTTCTGAGTTCTCAGGGTAGCTCATCAGCTGTCCTCCAGGAACCTCCACACTTACCCACAGGGCCTCTGCATGCTCCCCTCACTGCCTGCTGTTAGCCCACTGCAGAGGGTCCCAGGACCAGGTACGGGCACACAGTAACAACATGTCACCCTAAAGACAGACAGAAGGAAGGACCCTTCTCTCCTATCCCAAGTTTCCTGCAACTCTCACAGTTTTAGTGAATATGAATCTGGGCCTGGAACGTCAAGGCTTCAAGCTTCAAACTTTTGCTTCAAACCGTTGTGTTTTCTGGTTCCCTCTGCAGGTGGACCCACTGAGAAAGGAGCTGGCTTCCCAGGCAAAGGGCCAGCAAGCTGTACCATGTCACAGCACGATGTCTGTGCACAGAGTTCTCCCCAGACAGCAGGACCCCATAGGTCTCACAGGGGCACAAGCCAACACCTGTGCCAGTTCTGCTGAGCTTCCCCAGCCAGGACACAGAATATGGAATAGGGGTGCTTCCTGGGGTGCAGATGGTAGGGGCATTTGTGTAAGAAGTGCATCCTCAAAGACACCTAATGCTGACTGTGGCAGGACATTCCTGAAATCATAATGTGTGATGCTGGAGGACTTGAGTATCAAATCTGTAAAGTCCACTGGATGTCAACAAGAAAATAAGCTGAGGTCCAACAGTCACTCCATTTCCAAGAAAGCCATCAATGAGCACGCAAGGCTCAGTGCTCTGTGATGAAGTCACCATTGCATGCTTCGTTAGTGCAGCAGAGAGGGAGGAGGAAATGAAGACACTGCTCCTACCATGCAGCCTGTTCTGAAGTGCTGGGGAGATGAGAGCAGTCGGCCGGCCCCTCCAGACGTGAGGGTGAGCTGTGTGCTCATGAGGAGCTGCACCGTCCTAGACTACGCTGGATGCCAGTCACTGCTGACGCTGCTCCTGCAGGCCAGCTGTGGGAGAGCCCTGAGAGAACCATGCCATTACTGATAACATGTGTCTTCCCACAGTAGCCAATTTAGTGGGGCTTTGTCTACATCTCTGAACCTTTGTCTCACGTCAAAGCTCTTCATCCTCTCTGGAAATAAAGCCTTAAGTCCCAAGACAGTGAAAGCAATGCCACAGATCTCTACTATCTTCAGGCTGAGCACTCAGAGCACTGCTTTCTGGCTCACTTATACCTGTGGATGCCTCTTGTCTTGTGATACCAGCCAAATGCTTATCAGTTTAACCCACAGAAATCTCCTCCAAAGACTAGCTCTCTCTCAAGGCAAGTGGTGAGCAGGAGAAGGCTCACTTGCCACTTTAACCTCAGCACTGCTTCTGCATCTGACATTACATACCTGTTATCTTTCCTACAGCCCAGTTACAGTCAACTCTGGGAAAGAAAACTGTGATCACTCAGCCGTATCAAGAGTCACACACTTGAGCTGGACATGGTGGTGCACACCTGATATCCCAGAACTGGGGTGTCTAAGGCAGGAAGCTTGGGAGTTTGAGGCCAGCTTGAACTCATGAGATTCTGCCTCAAAAAAAGCACAAGGCTCTGAGTTCAAACTCCAGAACTGCAAAAACTTACCTCACAAACCACTTCTAAACATCACTTGAACATCACTTGAACATTTGTGTCTTTTCTTCAGAATCTTAAGGTGCATACTGGCCTATGTGACAGGATCTGAAAGGTAATAAAACCTGATTAGAAAAGTTATTTTATGAGTGTGTAACAGCTTAGGCTGTGACTGATTTCAAGAGAAGCTTTGTCACTTGGAACCACCTGTAACTCTGTACCCATTGTCTTTCAGTTTTGACCACTAGTAACTGACTGAGTATCCTGGAGATTAAGTTGTTCATTAATTTATTTTGCTGGGGTTTTTGTTGTCTTGCCATGTTGTCCAGGCTCAAGTGATCCTCCTGCCTCAGTTTCCCACATAGCTAGGACCAGTAGTAATTTACTTCTAGTCTACTTTACCCTTCTGCTCTTTTAGCCCCAATGTTAAATATAAATCCTTAAGATAGAATCCCTCAAACAAGATCCCAGGGATAATCCAGGCCAAATTTGGCTGCCCTTTATTTCAACTATCAGCAAGCCATTTCACTATCTATGTTAAAGGAACTGCAGAAAAGAGGGGAGAGTGAATCCTGAGGTGGTAGACTGGGGTACCAGGCCTGCTGGGAGGGAGCAAGGCAGGTAAGTGAAGGGAAATGCCAGAACTGAATTGGGCCAATGCTGACCAGGACACCCTGAGGCTCATCTCTATGTAGCTCCTGGAACCCTAACAGGTGGAGGGTAAGGAACCCTCTAGAAGCACTGATCTGGCCAAAGGGTAAAGACACCAAGACACAGGGAACCCCATCAAAATGTCAGACTGACTGCCAGGGGTCACACTACCCATGGACAGAGAGGTTCCAAACTTGCCCTAGCTCCATCCTGAAAGCAAAGCCTGGAGCATGTGTCATGAGAGGCAGCCTGAGCATAGTGAGGAGCCGGAGGCTGTCAGATGGCAGGAGCAGAGCTTCTCGATACCACGGGAGTTCACTTCCCCCGCCTCCTCTGGCAAAGACCTGGATGGTGAACTTGACACAGAATTAAACAGAAAAAAAACCAAGATGCTCCAGAAAAATCTGCAAAAAAGACTATAGGAAAACTTTGGGAGCTCTGTCCTCTCCCTGAGTGGCAGCTGTGGGTAGGTGAGTGGGAGGGCTGGTGATGGGGACTTTCAAGGGAGAGCTCCACAGGAGACTAGAGAACACTGGAGAATGCAGGTGAAATGAGAGCAGGAGACATATCTCTTAATCAAGAGCACTGGAGCCACCTAAGGGAGCAGACTGCCAACCCTGATGGTGCAATGAGAGAGCTGTAAAGCGTAGCCCTGGGACACCTGTGGGCCCAGCTGCATCCATCTGCCTTTTTTGAGGCTGGGCTACCTAAACACTGTTCTCCAAGCCGATGCTGAACAAGGTGTAAGAAGAATACTTTTTTCTGATTTGCATTATTTAAAATGTTCTAAGTGAAGCTAGTTGTCAACTTTATTAAGAAGGATTGCTCTGTGCTCATCACCTAGTGTAAAATAAAAGCAAATAATTACTAAAGAGAGGGAGAGAAGGAAGCAGGAACCAAAAAAGAAATGCAGGAAAGGAATTCAGAGCAGGCACAAGGTATGGGGAAGAAAACTTCAACATAGCACAGCTGTGATTAACACTCTCAGACACAGGAGCAGAGACTATCAGGAGTAAGAGGAACTCTGAGAACTTACTGGTCACTGAAAAGGAAAAAGTCAACGGCTGGATCCTGAAGCTAGGATTGGCAAGAGTGAGGAGACTACCAGGAAGGAAGACTACAGGAAAAAGAGAGCTTAGGGAAAATACAAAATAAGCTGAGCTCACTATGCAGAAGGATTGGCTGTCTGAGGGTGGTGTGTCTACGACAGCAACATGAAAGCCTTCACATTGTACCGCTGCATCAATCCTAGGAATATGTCCATCTATGCATCAGTTTAAAATGCCAACAGAAAATTAGAGCCCATTCACTTGTGCTGCAGTCCAGCGTTCTCCTGCTTCTGCAGGCCTGCGGGTGAAACCAGGAGCCCTGAGAATTGCACCTGGAGGCTGCAGTGGAACAGGCAAAGGTGTCCAGGGTCTCAGGAGATCCAGTGGCCAGCAGTGGTAACTTTTCCTAGCATTCAGCATCAAACATTTGGGCGTGACTCCCAATACCCCAGAGCCTGTACTGCCTTCTGCCTCGTGTACCCCGCCCCACCAGGCCAGGCTGTGCTGTTGGTGGTCATGCCCACCGCACGCTGCGTGGCTCCTTACACCACTGGTTCCCTGACATCCTCCCCTCTGAATCTCTTAAGCTTTCCTTTTCCTCTCTTTTTGGAGACAGACTCTTGATATGTAGCCCAGGCTGGCCTAGAACTCACAATCCTGTCTCAGTTTCCTAAGTGCTGCAATGACAGGCATGCACCACCACAGCCCAGCCCTCCTGAGCGTCTAACAAATGTAGCCAGGAATCCCAAGCTGTTAAAAATAACAGAGGTGACATTTTATATTAAATGTATTCAAATATCTTATCTATCCTCTTTAATCCTTACTAAAATTTTGAACCATTTACCAATGAGCTAATCTTAGCAATGTTTGCTTTGGTTTTGGTGGGACTGGGGTTTGAACTTAGGGCTTTGTACTTGCAAAGCAGGTGCTCTACCACTTCAGTCACACCTTCAGTCCATTTTGCTCTGCTTACTTTGGAGAAAGGGAAATATTTGCCCTGGCTGCCTCAAACCTCGATCCTCCCTATCTCAATCTCCCAAGTAGCTAGGACTATAGGCATGAGCCACCGGCACCCCATCTAGCAACGTTTTAAAACCTAAAGCTGGCCTGTAAAATGCAGGCTGTCCACTGTAGACGCCAGGCCTACATGGAATTTCTATCATGAAAGACCAAATCCCCAAGGATTTTTATAAACTACAAAAAAGGAACCAACGTAATGCCACTTGGGAAAGCAGGAGGCAGCAACTCCACCTCTAGGTGTTTACTCAAGAATGAGTAAGAATGCAAACCCAAATGTGCTTTGCACAATATCCCCAAACTGGAGCCATCAATGGGAGAGAAGCAAACGATTTTGTGCCCTATCCATACAACAGCATACTTTTTTGAGCAAAAAGGAAAAAATTACAAATACAAGCAGCAATATGGATAAATCTCAAGTGAAAGCAGCCAGACATAGAAGAAAATGTACAGTGTGATTCTACCCTAGGACTCACCAAAACAGGCACATTTATTTTGAAAGAACTCAGAACAAGGGTTTGAGAACAGGGGGAAAGTGACCAAGGAGAGGTCCACGGTGGTGTTCTGAGTTGATGGACTGGCCCATTTCTGCATAGGGAAGTAGGTCACACAGGTATATGCATTTCTGAAAAAAATTTGCTAAACTGTTTTTTTTTTTTTTAAAACAAGGAAGTATATATTTTAAACCAGGCATTTCACTGAATATCAGCCATCCCTCAATAAAAAAAAGAGGTGGAGAAACACCCAGTGCAGGTAGGCAGGAAAGCAGGTGTGGAGTGAAAGGTGAAGAAGCTGCATCCTGGCTGTATCTGTGAGTCAAGGCCTGTCTTAGATTGACTCTCTCTGTAACTTCAGGTTCCACAGCCATAGGCAGACATAGCAAAGCAGGTAACAAAAGGGACCAGCACTCAATGGTGATCGGTTACTACAATTTGGGATGTGATCGTACCCTGGGATGCCAAGAGCCCCTGCCCTGGAGTCCGGCATTCACATTGACACTGGAATGCTACTGAAGCATCACACACTGGTGACCTACAAAAACTAAAAGAAGCAAATCTCTGTTGCAAGCACAGAAGTACAGGAAGCAAACTCAATCCCAGCCAGCAGATCTATTTAATCAAACTTGGGGTGGGAGGCAGCCAGGCACCGGGCTCTGTGCAAGATCCCAGGAATGTGTGACCAAAGACCTAAACTCCAGCCACAGGAGGTCATGAACCAGCAAATAATATGCCAAGTGTTTTTGCCACACTAGGAGCAAAGCTGACAGGGAGAGAGATGGTAGCAACTAATTCTGTCTGGAGAACTAGAGAGAAAAGCAGGGAAGAGGGCAGCATGAGTGGGCCTGAGGGACAGGAGAAAGCAGTGAGAGTACACAAGTGGTGGGAAGAGAGGGGCCCAGCATCCTGAAGGGAGACATGATGCAGAGGACAGAACTGGGGTCCACTGATCAGGCCCTTTGAGCATCACACACAGGAGTCTGGAAGTCTGACCTTCATTCTGCTAGTACAGGAGGTACCAGAACTGCAGTAAGTGCACCGGGAGCTAGCTTGGTTGTAGAGCCCTTGCCGAGCAGGTGTGAGGCTCTGAACCAAGCCTTGTACGCACATATGAATAATAAAAGAAAAATGAAAAAAAAAAAAAAAAAAAAAGAGCTGGCAAAGTGGCTCAAGTGGTAGAGCACCTGTCTAGCAGTGTGACAGTCCTGAGTTCAAACCCCAGCGCCAGTAAATTTAAAAAAATACAAAAATAAAATACTACATTAAATTTAAAAAAAAAAAAAAAAAGAGAGACAAGGTAGGCAGGGGGTAGACTGGCACTCAGGAGGCAACTGCCTCCCACCCCCCAGAGAAGAGATGGTGGAGAACAGGAGGCAGCAGAGCCTGAAGAGGTGGGGGACATAGAAGGCAGTTGCAGGAAGGACAGCAGTACAGTCCCCAGTAGATGAAACAGGGTTGATGAGCCTCAGCAATGCGACAGCTGCAGGCTTGGGGAGGGTGCTGAGATTTGGGCTCAAGGAACATGGGGTACCTGCAGGACAAGCTCACAGAGCTGCCCCCACGGCTCTGAGGACAATTACTGTTGACCTAAATGACAGGCCCCAGCAGTGCTGTGAGGCAAAGTGGAATCAAATGGCAAGAACTCTCCCACAGCCCCAGGAGACCAGAGGTGTGAGGCTAGGAGCTGAGCCCATGGGCATGAAAGGAAGGAGGCAGTGCCAGGCAGGGCAGGAAGTTAAGGCAAGGCTGAGCAGTCAGAACTCCAGGTGACCATTTCCTGGCACTATCAGTAAAGTGCTAAGAGCCTGGGAGACTGGGAGGTGAGAAAATAAAAGAAAAAATTTGTTTTGCGTGTTGGGAACTGAACCCAGGGCCTCCCACATGCTGGGCAAGT